TATATATAAGTCATAGCTGTTACTGTGATAAAACAACCAATATTAATTGTGAACCACAAAAATATACATTATTTATGTGGCTTTCGAGATATAGCTACCCTTGCATGAAAATTTGGGCTCAATATTGGTTATGGACTGTATAGTTGTTAGGAGCTGTAGTTCTTAGACTTTGCTGCTTTTATGTTTTGTTTATTATATATTGTTGCAAAATGTGTAAAGCATGCAAAATAACTAAATCTACGTATGACTTTGTGAAGTGTACTATCAAAAATACCCTAACTACAAAGTATATTGTCATTTCTAGTATGATAGGTGGAGAGAAACTCTTACATTAGAATGAACCTTAGGACACTTGGAAAATCTGATTCAGGCATGTGACAGTAGGTTTGCAACTGCTACAAAGCATGTTTTGTACTCATTTGTTACACAGTGGTTTATTGATTTGAAAATGCTGAGACCATTTGTAGACCATGAATACCTACATGACTGTGTTAATATAAAACTTTGCAAAACATGAAAATAACCTTCAATTCCTTGAAACAGGAACAAAAAAAAGAAGTACAGAAAGATAAAATCAAGTACAGTTTCAGTATCAGATAAAATTAAGACACAATCTACAGTCTTTACGACAACCAGTTTGTCCAAGTGAAAGGCCAAAGAGCTGTACAAATCAGCCAAGAACCCATAAGGCTCATCAGAGTCAGTTGTTGAAAAATGGCCAGCAGCCAGAGTAAACACTGCTCACTCCAAGCAACAAAAAAAAAAAGAGTTCAATGTTTATAGTTTAAAATAATTAGAAATTAACATTTTCTTTGTGCAAAAGAAACTGTTTGCTATTTTCTTGTACAATACTGTTAAATTACAAACTTAACATTTGTTAAAGTAATTGTGCTTCTTTTATTTTGTTATTTGGTGATCAGAAAGGTCCCTCTCACACTCCCTGTGCATTTTTACATATTTTTGGGGAACTTGACCACTTTCATATATGTTTTTGCATAATGTGTAGTATTACAGCCATGCATCACTTGTGTTGTCTCTTTATGGTCTTTCTAATGCTAAATTATTTTAGGATAAATGAGAGATATCGGAGGGTAATACAGAAAATTCATTTGGGCAGTGGTAATTGAGTGCAAATGAGACAAGTTTCTGCATGGTAGTAACTTAGTAAGAATTTGAGCTGAGGGTTGTGGGGGGTGCCCAAAGTGAAAAAAATAAATGATACATTTAAATACTGTTTTATTTATGTGCATCTAGCCAGATGGGTTTTGGGGTAAGACAAGATACCAAATGACGTGATATAGAAAAAAAATCTTAAGTAAACATTTCGTTTATTTTTAGTATTATTTTTTATTTTTTCATTTGATGAACATTTTGCACCTAAAATTTGTAACTGCTTCCACAAATTAGCCTGTATTATCCCCTAAATATGAAAAATCAAGGCCTTCATAATATTTTTAGCATTGCCTTAGATGTGCTGATATTCGTATATGGGAAGTATCTTTTCACTAAGTGGTATTTTAGACAATGTCTTAGTGCACCACTGAAAAGTAGAATAAGAAGTGGAAACTAAGTTGTGTACAATGACTTAATTGTATATATATGCCTCTTCAACTGTGAAGAGTTGAAATTTTTGCTTTAGATATTTCCTACAATTTCATTTTAGAATTTTAGTTTTCTGGATAAAGAAACAGGAAAAAAAAACCCCACTCCCAGTGGCACAGCATTATGTGTGCAGATTTACTGTGCTAGAAACCATGTTTAGATACCTGTGGTGGGTAGTGCACAGGTAGCCCATTGTGTAGCTTTGTGTTTAATTACAAACAAACAGAAAAAATAATATGTATAACATTTTAAAGTGTGTATAACATTCAATAGTTCTGATATAATGTTTTTCAAGATCAAGTTTGTAATATGTTCAGAATAGACTTGATAAAAATTGTTTCATAAGTTAAATACTGTTTGAGCAACTTATGAATATGAAGCCCAATCTGTCATTCAATTCATCAATTGTCACTGAATTATATTGGTTTCTAGGAATTACGTCTGTCTTCGGTAACCCTATGCAAAGGCAAATTGAAGAAAAAAAGACTAGGCATCTTATAGTGGTAGACTGTAAATTATATGTATGATGTTTTAGTTTTTTTTACTCACCATACTGAACTATAATGACAACTAAAGACACTGTACATGTATTAAAACTGTGTCTAAGGAATTGAAATGATATATTTACTCTCTTTGGTTTAGGTTTGACTACCCACCAGTGGACAGAGGGTAAGTAGTAACTATCATGAATTTGAAACGAAATGATAATAATTGTGCATCTTTAATGTTCTAGTTACTATTTGTACCATAATCCAATAACTAATATTCTGCCACCAAGTAGGTGAAGTGTTTATTTAGACAGTTTTATTACTTTCACAGAATAGTGATGAATATGAGGCCTGCAAATAAGTTTGGCATTTTTTTAAAGGTAAAAGATTACTGGCTTGAATAAAGGATCAAGTAATAATTTTAGTCAAATATTTGTATTGAAATTGGTCTGCCTTTTATCTAAATAGCAAAAATATTTTTCAGCATAAATGAGAGAATGTGCTCTGCAATATTTGCAAGTTGTAGCTTGTCAGCACTAGTCAGTAAATAAAAATTGTCATTTGTAGAACACAAATTCCTAACTCTGAGGTTCATCTTTTGTAGCTGAGTATTGTTAATGTCATTTTTCTTGTATCAGATATCTGGCCATGTTTCTGAAACAAACAACAGTTCATTAATTTCACAGGACACTGGATCACAGACATTTAGAACACACTGCTTTTAATGTCAAACAATTTTCTGGAAGTGGTACTGGTAATATGTTAGGGAAAATATTGGAAATTTAATGAATCTGTATGATGTTCAATTTCAAATGACAGATAAAAGAGAAAGTATTATCAAAGATTATAATGATGCCAGATTCTCAAGTGTTTCCTTTACACATTACAACTTTTGATTATGAATAGTCTGGAATAGACCTTTCTGGGTGACATTGTGATGTTGATCTTGTTGTTTTCTCCTAGTGTCTGTTGTATTGGAAGGCAGCACATGCACAATTTAGACATTAGAAAAAACTGTGAAATACCTTTCCAGTGTTGTGCTTTTGGCTGTATCAATAGATGGGATTCAGAACTAGTTATATCTTTTCACACATTTTCAGTTGGCCCCACAAGAAAAAAAAACTATGAAATGATACAGTTGTGAGACAAAATTAGCAATCTTCACAAAATATCTGTATTTGTAGCGCACATTTTGTGAAAAGTATAAGAATAAATCTGTTAAGTAATATTTGCATAAATTGAAATTTGGACAGCACATATATATATATGAGTATCATATTAGTCATTAATTAATGAAACTACTGAGATTTGATAAGGGCTCCATATTATTTCTACAGGCACTGGTGAGTAATGTATATAATTATTAGGTCATCAAAAAATTAATGTCATTTTCTTTTGGATGAAAAACCTGAACAACTTGTATATCAAAACAAAACATTTTTTAAATGAAAGTCTCCATTCTTATTGATGATACTTTTCCATCTTACAGT